TTATCATTCGTCCGCGCCGAGAATTGTTCGCAAGCGCATACCGATTTACATAATATTACGTAATCAAGCATCAGCGGCGGTGCACTCTCGTCACTCACTAATATTAATTATTTTGCTAAAACTAAGTTATTGCCCGGCTCACAAAGTTGAACTGTTCTTATCTCGTGCATAAATTAGTAAATGCACGGCTCGCATTAAACTCTATTTATAGTTGAAAGTATATTCCCCCCCCCCCACAGACCAGACCAAGCAGGCCGCGCTGCGCCTCATGACGCGGCACTCCGCGTGCTCGCCCCGCGCCGCGCCCCGCCCGTCTCTCGCCGACCTCTCCGCGGTGAGTACAAACATTTACATGTAATATTGCAAAAAAGCATGCCATCCTTGTAAATACACTGTCCGATTACAAATTTACAACACGGTAAGGTGAACTCTTAACTCCCCCTTTATGCGTGGCTAGGTGCATGGACGATGGGAGCTAAAGTATGTAAGTATAAGGACCGTATTATTAGGTGGCGCTCTCTAGTTGTCGTTGTTGCCTACCGAAAGCGGAAGGCTCCGCGACTTCATGTGTGTAACTTGCCAATGGCAGAGAATTAACCAATTGAACACATTGTTTGCTAATGCATAGCTATATTATAGGTTATATAGTATAATTACTAATGTAATATAAAACATATGCTTTTGGAGAGCAAGAGAGAAATTACTTTTGGTAGACTAGCTAGGTATAAACATTAGCTTAAATTAAAGTAGGTGTCTTTATAACAATTGAGTTCTTGACAATTATTGCATTCCAATATTTAGTCCAAATCACTTTTATAGCTACAAATAAAACTAGCTATTTGTGGCTAGTTTTTTTTAATAAATAAGTTTATTTTGTTGTAAATTGAATTTATGAAATTATTATAATCTATATATATAAAAGAAAGTCGTGTTAGTTACACCACTTATAACTCAAGAACGGCTGAACCGATTTAGCTGAAAATTGGCAGGTAGGTAGTTTAGAGCCAGGAGAAGGACATAGGATAGGATAGAGTAGGTAGAATAGGTCAGGTAGAGTAGGGTAGTATGTAGAGTAGGGTATGTAGAGTAGGGTAGGTAGAGTAGGGTAGGTAGAGTAGGGTAGGTAGTCAAATGACGGAAGCGACGCCGCGGGTAAAAGCTAGTTTTTAATATTTATTCCTGAAAAATAAATAAACATAAACATAAGTGTGGGGGAGCCATGCTTCGTAACGAATGAGTCGGCTCGACCGGAGTGATACAACCATAGCGTTGTATTTCGCCGTGTTAGTGTTGTTACCGGAAGGCCAATTTTTTTTGTCCATGGGCGGCGCTGGTTGCTTACCCTAAGGTAATCCGTCTGCTCGCTTGCCGAACTATCACATATAAAAAACAATTAATTTTTGACTAAGGAAAGTTTCCAATTATAATTTAACATAACAAATAAAGAATCAGAAAATCTATTATGTATTTATTCGAAATGTATTTATCTATATCTCGCTGGATTGTTATTCACTAAGACATCTACATTACATTGTTTTCAAACGCCATACGACTTCGAATTTATAGGAGTGTTGCTCGTTTTTCGTTATCACATTGAAATAAGTTAATTATTAACAAACTTGACATAAATGTACACACATCAAAAAAGTTGCTATGCTGACCATGTCGAGTGCTTCTGAGCAGTAGAGATGACATGTCGATTGTAGAGAACATCATTTCTGAGTGAATTCGTTTAGTTCCGGATTATAAAGTGTTTTCTTTTCTTTCGTTTTTTAATTCTAAAATTCGGCTAGTCATCTAATACGTACCTACTCGAAAATAGATATAGACTTTAATTTGTGCATTGTGTTTGAAACGACGACATTCGCGAAACAATAATTCGGAAATATCCAATAAATTTTCTACCATTGGAAAATCGCGGGTACAGCGGGTATCCATCCTCATATTGTTGAGACCGCTACCATCCGGTCGTGCGTTTCACTTCGTCGTTTATACCACGCACATCTAAGGATTGGAATAGCTCTAGGTGGTGCAAGGCTAGAGTGAATAGGCTCTTAATAAACTAGTGTGCCTTACCAGCAACGATTGCATCACTGCTTACCATCAGGTGGGATTGCACTCAAGCCCTACTTTATAATTAATGACAAAAATATGAAAGAAAAACAAAATATAATTAAGAATTATTTTTCTTAGAATTTTATAAACTATTATATAATTGGTTTATTTATTATGTGAAACCCTTATTAATATTATATGCATGTGACTAAATTCAAAAATTGCAATATGGTAAACCACATTCATTAAATATATCTATACATTTGTGGCCATTCAACTTTGTAAAACAGTTATAATAATGTACTCTGGAAGTGTGACTAACTGACTTGGATACTCTAAGGGATAGCTAAACAACTAGGTATTCCTTTAAGTATCCAAGTCTGTCTTCTTGACCTCATTTGCAAGTTTTTATTATAAAATTAGACTAATTACACAATCATAGTAACAAATAAACTTTACATATACATAACAAGAATGACGGCAGCAATATGTTAATAAATAACAATCATTTGTGCAGCAACATCGATGGACGTCAGTTGAAATCGCGCGGCATTAGTTTTTGTTTTTAATTTCTCAAGATCCAGAGTCTCTGCCATGCACAAGCTGACTCTAGAGTACTTATAGGTGTGGCCAAATCTGAAAAACAGATAACAAAAGTCACTCTAATTGCAATATTCATCATAGATGTAACAACATTATTCTACAAAAATAAAAAAACATTCGTTTCACTTACCAATAAATTCCACGTATTGATTCTTTGGAATCTATGTGGTAACGAGTGAAATAAAAATAAAGTAAATAAATATGCCAAGTACCAGTTGGTCCTCTTCATTTGATTGTTCTGGTGGTGGCCCTCCTCAAGCCAACATAGACTACCGTCAATTATATTTTTCTTTGACATTTTTTGTCTTTAAATTTTCTTCAAACCTGAAATAAAATTATTACTTGTGTTAGTCCGAACACACATTTACCTACTTTGACAATGACACACAAATCACATACAAAGATAAATAAATGACTGAGAAGTAAAGAAATAAAAACACGTCACAGAAAGTAAGATAAGTACTTACTTTGCGCCAACCATCCCAAGGATTTTTTGGCTTCGGCCACAGAATACAGAATAAACCAGAATCCGCGTTCACTCATAATTACATGTCGTCAAATGTGTCCAAAAACAATACGTCAATCCCCCCGCCAGCCGCACTTCCCACCCGCGTAGTGTTGCCGACAGTGGAACAATTCCCTTGGTTTGGGGTAATTTTACAACAGGAGGGTAAGATACGAGTAAACCCAACAAAAAAGGTAAACTTACGATAAATGCAACAGACTAGTTGTTTACACATTTCATAGAGGTATCATAAAAGTTGACGATTTCTGGCTGTGTTAATTTTAGTTACACCTACTATACACAACAAATAAAATAAAGCTTCAATAAGTACAAAGGTTTTATTGCGTTCCTTTTTGCTGGTTTAGTTTTTTTAATATGTCTTTAGACTCGGAACTAAAGACTAGAAGTCTTCTTAATTTACTTAGTTCCTGAGATTAGCACATTCTAGCAAACAAACAAACAAACTCTTCAGCATTACAATTAGTATAGATATATCTTAGTAGGATACCTATGCTGGTTTCAAACCACCTTTGTCATAAATATATCTCTTCAAAGTGAATTGAGCAAACTATGCTCTGGCTAGATGGTTTCCAAAATTAATCTAACCGTGCCCTTTGTATGATTTGTATTTATTTTTTTGTCAGGGAAACTAACATGACATAGGCTCCATAATGGACAAAAATATAACCCACAACAAATAAATAAGTGGGCAAAATTTTCACCAAGAATGACAACACTCACAAAATGGCCGCATCATTTTCATAGAAAAATAAATGGATAAAAAAATTCAATAATTAATTAAATATACTATTGCAGTCGATGCTTGCAGATGAAATGTAATCTTATCCACTTTTTTCGTAATTCCAGTCGCATTTTTACTCGTAATAACACAAGACGGCATAGTGAAATTAAAATTAATACTCGTAAATACGTCACGACATGCCACGTGCCAAAATTGACTAATCGTAGAAATTTCATACTATTCTAGTTGAGAATGGTTTTAGTTGCTTTAGTTTGAAGCGCGATGACGCCTTCTGGTTTGTTCTGTATTCTGAGGCTTCGGCTTAGCCTTCAACTGTTGGCGATGGCTTGCCATCTTCCTAGATACAGAAATCCTCCCCTCGATATTGGTTCTACTTCAAGAAGTTATATGAGTAGTAACTACTTTTGTTGTGAACTGTGGTATTTTCTTCTCTTCATTTGAAAATAAAAACTTAAATATAAAGCAGCACAGCCCTCAACTGATATAAATACAGAGTAATGAAAACACAAAAAAATAAAAGAACCACAAAAAGTTACATATTCTGACACTGACAGACAGTCAACTGTCAAACTGATTTTTTTGCACTAACGTTTCGTTTTATTTTTGTATTAAACTTTTAGTCGGCGTTTTAAAACAAAATCATTCATTCACACATAGTTACCTAACCTAAAAAGGAACGTGTGATTCTTCAAAATGGTAAAATTATCTTCATTCGACTCGACATTTTCGTGACTAATTGTCACGATAATGTGTGATTTTTTTAGTAGAGATAGAGATATTTTGATAGGCTTAGAATCTCTAATTCGAGATAAATGTCGAAGATCAAGAATTGGCCCCCAGCATTGCCCCCGTGTTCGCTAGTTATTTTTTAAATAATGACATCAACATCATTTACAACAACGAATTTAAATTTAAAACTCCTGATGCCATTTCGGGAAAGAAAAGAGGTTTAACTAATTATTGTCAACAGTTATCGCCTTTACTGTACTGAACACATGTGGAAATCGTTATATATTGGCATGCTGATAATTAAGTTATCCAGCATTTGTTGCAGTAAATTTTCCAATTGCCTTACTCGAGCTCTTCTGGGATTAATATAGACGAGCCTAGCCTGCGAGCGAGGTTAGCCTGGCCGGGCAAGGTCCGGGTGGCTCGATGTACGGGTGCATTGTCATCAACCATTACGAATCGATGGCCATGGTTTATCTTAAAGGGACCTGATAATACCCGAGTCATCAAGCCACGACACGGGAATAATTGGCGTTCTAGCACTAATCATTATACCGCCTTCGCCTTCGTGCTTACGGTGGCCGGAGATTGTCGATGCCCGAACTGTCACCTATTGTGGTGGCTGGGGCGTGAAGAGGATAGCTCGCTCATGCGTTCCGCATCCATCTTTGACAGCATCATTGCTTGACAGAAGGAGAGGACGCTTTTCAGTTCCTATCGCTTTGCACAATGACGTCGAATAAGGCTGGACGCGAGACGTGGGCTGTGTTAATTTCTAGTTCAGTTGCAACCCACAACTCCGTTTTTATTGTACAGTCAGTGGTTGTTGGGTCTCGGGCAGTCAGCAATCTGGTGTAACGCTCCTTAGCAGTTAATAAAACTTCAGTTGGTTTTGTTCAGTTGAACCACTTCGCAATTAATTAGCAAAGTTATCCACGCAGTAACACCTCCGTTTAGTGTTCATGACAGGGATACAGTCACTTTACGTGCTATTTCTCTCCTAGAACGGCTTTCTTCCCCTAAAATAACAATTCAACTCGCACAAGGCACTTGAATCAAGTTGATCACACTTAAGAACGAATATTTACAAGGATTTATATCTTTTTGTACAGAAAAACTTAATTTTTAATTAATTTGTTTTTAAGTGACTTAGAAAAAAATGTGATTCTTAGAAAAACAAACATTTTATTGTAACACAACGAAACCGATTTCGCATGTTAAAGTAATCTCAAACTTTTTTGAAGCGTGTATGTATAATCCTTTATATGCTTGTTATTTTCTCCCGTTTTGCAAACTTTATTCATTTCGTTATTATTTTTCTTCAGGGAACCATTATAGAATTAACAGGTTCAGAAGGAAGAAATTCATCTCTGCGGACTAGAAATATATCCCGGCGATCGGGTAAAAGTCCTAAAAAGTCACCTTCTAACGTCAGCCCGAAGAAATCCGCACTCAAAGATCCTTTTGCGAAACGAGGAACACGAAAAACCGAATCCATAAAGTTCGATCTAAGTAATTTAGAAAACCACGCAGAAGACACGGACGTGATGATGGTGAGCGATGTGAGCTCGCAGTCCTGCCACAGCGCGGCCTCCGCGGACCTCACGCTGCATTACTCGGCCGGCTCGCCCGCCTCGCGGCCCGGCTCGCGCGCCAGCCGCCTCGTGCAGCGCGCTCTGCAGCCCGTCAGCCCGCACTCGCCCCGAGCTGGCCTCGAGTCCTATTCCATCGTTGATTTAGTGTCCCTTGATTCTAACGAGTCTGGCCGATCAACTTCTGTGTATGGCTCACCGGCCTCTACCGATGTTACGACTTTTGAGACTCCACAAAATAATACAGGCAGGAGGACCAGATCGACCTTGGACCCGACACTACTCGGCTCCAGTACCCCCTACGTGAAGGGCAGGTCGTCCACCAACAGGTCTTACTCGAATGCAAGCGACAATATCTCGAGCCAACCTGCGATGCTTACACAATCAACAATTAGGAGTTCAAAATCAAGAAGATCAAAATCATTGTCGACTCCGGAGAACTCTGAAGAGGCCAAGAAACACATCTCAGTGAACAGCACGCGCATATCTCGCGCCGCGCGCAGTAAATCGCGCCTGCAAGACAGTGCGCTAGACGCCGGCGACGAGGACTCCCCGCGGACGTCGCGCGCCTCGCGCTCCGCCTGCAGTCCCGCGCGTGACGAAGGCCTCTCCACTCCCGAGAATGTACACAGCCCCGAAGAAGCCAGCACACCTGTTCTTAGTATACAGAGCCTTTTAGATTCTAGTAGTTCTTTCATCGCACAAAAACCTACAAGAAAAAGTAAACCATCATTCAATACTAAAAGAAAAACTATCGGAGGACTTCCGTCGAGAACTAGAACTAGGGCCAGTGCCAAATGCAAGTCTTTAAGTTTCAACACGGGAAAAGCTAGACTGAGTGACGACTCCGTGGAGATATTGAACAACAAGGATGAGAGCGAAGTAGTGACGCCGAAGAGTGCCGTCAAGTTAGTTCAAGAAGCGGTAAAGAACAAACACTCGACAGCTAAAAAGCCGCAGTCGAAACGGTCGATAATAGACGATTTGAACGAGTCTGATATAGTGAAGCAACTGTTCAACAGTCCCGTGAAGAGGAAGCTGTCGCAGAGCATGACGGAGTTCTCCAGAAAGCAACTGTTCGAGGAAGACGAGACGGCGCAGGCTCGGCGCCCCACGCGCTACACCGTCGCGCTCACGGGGCGCACGCCCGAAAACTCGCTGCTGGACCATACCGACTCGTACACTCCAGAAATGTTCGTCAGCCCAATCAGCACTCCCACCCGCAGCCCTAGTTTAGAGGGCGTTAAGCTTATGTTTGCCAAAACTACTCCCGAAAACGATTTACGAAATGTGAAAGGAGTGAAGGCCTTACTGCGCACGCCTCGCACCAGGAGATCTATCAAAAATGACCTGAGTAATGTGTCGGGTGTTAAGAACGTATTTGCCAAGAGTCCTAAAAATCGACTAAGTGATGTCAGGGTCAAGGAAGTATTTGCGTCTTCGCCTAAAAACGATTTGCGTCGCGTGACCGGAGTAAAATCCCTGTTCCAAACAGTTGAGAAAAGAAAGTCGCCTAGAAATGAGTTAGACGATGTGGTAGGTGTAAAACGGTTATTTAAAAAGAGTAGTCCGGCGAATGATCTCCGGAACGTGTCCGGAGTTAAAAGAGCTCTCCGTAGAAATAGCCCAAGGAATGAGCTCGAGAACCTGCATGGGGTCAAGCGAATGTTTGCGAGAGACGCGAGAGACGACTTGAACGACGTTAGTGGGGTTGAAGAATTGTTTAATTTGTCAAACCTTTCTGTGTCTACCAGAGCAGAAAGCTTGTTTGATCAGTTAGTAGGAAAACCTCAGATAAAAGTAGTGTATTCTAAAACATTTTCCAAGAAAACCCCAGTTAAGACAAAAACTTACAAAACGAAGTCATTGCACGCTTCCTTAGAGCAAGTATCTGATGATTGGCTACAACAAGAGCTCAATAGACGACAGCAAGTGAAGAGTTATCTAAACTCTCTGAACTCCGCTAATAGGTCTAAGACAAGGAAATCAAAGTCGATACACACCTCTTTAGATCAAGTCGCAAACGTCGATGTGTTGCTAGATCAAGAGTTAAACAAAGAGCAACAGATTAATAATTACCTGGAATCTATTAGATCGGTTGACGACTCACAGACAAAAATCAACAAATCTAAAAGGAATCAGTCGGCATCTTCCGACAAGGCACATGCGGCGACGGCCAACGTGACCCGCGAACTGCAGAAGTTGGTGACAGAAACAGTCGAGGGCCACACACCGATCTGCACGTCGAGGACTAGGAACAGTAGCCTCGCGGCCGGGGACGGCTCGCAGCGCGGGAAGTCAGCCTCGCAGCTGTACAGTGCGCACAAACTGCCTCTTAAGAAGAGGTCGCTAGCCGACGCAGGCGGCTCGGCGCCGGCGCTGTCGCTGGCGGAGCCGGGCGGCGCGGGGCTTGCGCTGCCGCTGAAGAAGCGCGGGTTGCAGCACTCCACGCCGCTGAAGGGCCGCGCGCCGACCGCGCCGCGCGCGCCGCACTCCCCCATCGCGCCGCCCGCCTCCCCTCTCCGACACAGGTAAGCATTGACCCGATTCTACGCTATTCTAGCAACTTCTTACCATCACTTTTAGTGCTTTCTTATACACCTTGAGACATCCGCAACTTTCTAATCTGTATTAGTTTTAACTTATGAGATGTCTGCCACTCGGAACGGTTTTTTTATTTCCAATCTCTTCAAGTAAATTACTGTAATCTACTATCTACCAAATAACAAGACAAATTGTATTAAAATGTTTTCAGGTCTACTAAATCAAAAGAAACTCCTGAAGATTTAAGAAACACAAAAACTTATTGCGATACAGAAGCAGTTAGTGAAAATGTCAAACCATCGCCGAGAAAAACTCGTGGTAGAGGGAAAGCAGTTTCGCCTAAAACTAAACCTAAAGCTAGTCCCGCTAGAAAGAAAGCAACCGTTACTGTTGACAAGCCTCGCGCTGTATTGGCCGTCTTAGCGAACGAAGAGAATTCACCGAAACTGGTCAGTCCTATAAGAAAAACCAGACAAACTAGGACTAAACGAGTAAGTCCTATAAAGAAAATAGACACTACTGTGCAAATGACAGTTTCTCGTAAAAAAGATGTCTCGACCAAAGAGACCAACGCAAGGCAGCGCGCGCCAAGGTTGACTGTCGCAAAGAAATCATTACTTAAGAGCCCACCGGCGGCCCAGAGAGCGTCGAGAAAACGAAAAGAACCAGAGACTATGTCGACACCGAAACCCAGTCCTAAGAAAACGCGAGCTACTCGCAACAACACTTCTAATAAAGATGTTAAGTCAAAGACACCAAAGAGCACAAGAGCCAAAGTTCAAAAGGCTTCTGTTGTAGTAAGTAAACCCTCACCTTCCTTGAAACCACGACCAGTCCGTGGTGAACAAGAAACTACTAGGAAGTCGCGAAGAACCGTAACAGCCCAGCCTCCTCTAGAATCTCGTAAGAAATCTCAAGCATCTAGTAAAACACGAGCTGAATTATCACCTAACAAACCCTCACGACGAAATACTACGAACAAAACGAAGGACAGGAATGTTGTTGACAAACCTGATGTTAAACCCAAGACAAGTGAACCGACCACTCGGAAGACTAGGAATAACAAGCAAGAATCGTCTAACGAACAACCGAAACCTTTGAGAGGTCGTGGAAAGAAAGTGCTATCGCAAGAGAGCTTACCATCAGAAACTATAAGCCGAGGTCGACGGGCCACTAAACCCGACCCCGAACCGGTCGTACAAGAAGTTAAAACTCGCAAACGAAAGACAACAGCACCGGACAATGACATTCCGTCTAAAGTAAGAAAGTCTAAGGGAAGTGACAGTCGCAGCAAGCAGGCCACTAAAGTCGATGCAGATACAGGCAGGTCACGGAAGCAGTCCGCAACCGCGCAAGGAAGTACAGACAAGGCGGCCGGGGGCACTGCTCCACGCAGGAAGACTACGGCGCCCTCCGAGCCGGGACTCAGCACGCGCAGGAGAAAGGTATCTAGTTTACTCACTTTTTGTTTTCTTTTTTATTCGTTTCATGAAATCCATGATTTTAATAAGGTTTCGTTTTGCCTTGTAAAAATGCTTGGAATTGATTTTGGAGATTTATTGTCATGTTACATTACAAATCTTTTTTTTTTAGGCGAACCAGGAGAACAATTCCGATAATCAGATAACTAGGAAGCGTAAGAGACAGACAGCCGCAGAGTCTTTGCCTTCAGAAGGTGAGTAATATTCTGTGAAGTAAAACATTAAATCTGTTCGTTTTATTTGATGGGCATATAGTTCGATGGAGGATGAAGATGGTAACATGAAATTATTTGTAAACAGGTAAACCTACAGGCCGTAGCCGCCGGAGATAGCGCGCGACGCCACAGCGCACTCACTCAAGTACAAATAGTTACATAAACACGGTAATTACACATTTTCACTAAAGTTAATTATGAACTTGAAATAACTTCCTTGTTCAACATAGACATGTACTACATAAACTAACTTTTTTGTTGCAGGTGCACGGGGGCAATATAAATTTTGTGAAGACTTTTATAAACAGTGTATTGAATGGGAAACATGTTTTTGTGACAATATTATTTCGTGCTAGTTAATAATATCATCAGTTGTCGGCACTATTTTGCTAAAAGTAGCGTACAGTGTACACTCGTACACGTTATATTGTGCTGTCCTTACACATTGGTATGGTAAGGTAGCATTGCCATAACCGTTTTATGTAAAAATATCTGGTTATATATTATGAATATTCAAATTGCTGTTAACATTTTTAATCGCATGACAATACAAATTATATATTTTTATTCATTTACATAGATATCCTTAAGAATCAACATAAAATGCTGATACTGATCATGAATAAGCCAATCTCGATCTGTTGTGAGAATCTTAACGATCAGAGGTAATAAGTTTGTAGGGTATTGATATAAAAATTAAGTTTTCTTTGCTGTAGATTAATTAGTGGACTGGGTGGAATTTTTATGGAATTGATTACGGGGCCTTTTCCCCTCTCGCATATTTCCGTCGGCTAGTACAGAGGCGTCAACGTTGTCGAAAGATAGTAAGACTCCCAGTTTTGATAAATGTCGCGCGGACGCAGTGAATGCACGTGAACTCTGCGATGTGGAAAGGGCCCTGCTAGTAAGTAGTACATTACTGTGCTATAGCGCTGGACACAAGGCGCGCCATGTTCAGCACATTTTTGTTCAAATAAGCACAAATGGGCCCAACAAATCATGTGTACAATTGATTAATTTTATTCAATGTTTTAGGAGTTTGTTTAATTAGTTTTGTTGTGTGCGTATAGTTAGCGTCAAGTATGGGCATTTAGGGTTCACAAAGAACATTGGCTTTTAGAAGCAACCAAACCACAATTAAGTTTATCGGTCCGTAAGTTCAACAAACATACTCAAAAAACTACTTTGGTACCTAACTTTGGCAGGACAAAACAAAACAAAACAATATAATATACACAAAAGTTTTACGTAAATACTGCTGTCCTCTTTATATTGAGTATCCACTTACAAAATTCTTGTGTAATGTAATAAAAAATATGATATAAACCTCATGTAACATGCTATTTTATGTTATGAATGGTATTCCATAATTTTCTTATTTCAAATGCTTGTGGGTAAAACGTGAAATAGAATTCGAGGGATGAAAAGACGCAGAAGGGGGGAATAATGAATAAAAGGCAAATTGGCCAACATGTATTCACCCCCTCAAATTGTGTTCATCCCGTTTCACGCTAGGTATCCATGAATCACGGACGCTTTGTCCATCGAGAAGAGTGATTGATCCACGAGTGGTTTCTTCACATTTGATATACCCTAAATGTCATATATATTTGAGGCTGACTGTAATATTAGTTTTAATATAGTCTCTTATTTTTTTTGTTGTATTTAATTCGTCACAGGACATACTTTGTGAACAAAACTTTTTGGATTTTCATGTTCAGATGTCTTCTTGTGCTGGATTAATACAATTTAGAATTTTAGCTTGATTGATTAATTTCATATTCTTCATAATTGGCGAAGATTCTATTTTATCTTACTGACTGTGTGTCGACTAGGTGGGGAGTGGGTTTTGGTAGTTATACACAAATATTTTGGCTTTAAATATATTTTTTTAATGTACTAAATACAAATAAAAATATGCAGTTGTGTTGGGGATAGGAGAGAATAATTAAATTTATTTAGTTTGGAAATTAGTGCTGAGTACACGTAGCGGACAATTCATTTACCTACGTACTTACAGCATTCCGTTACATTTCGACTTTAAATATGTATTTTGATTTCGTCCCCTGCCCACCAAGATGTTTATTCTTTATGTTCTACTAAAACTATTTTAATACTTGCAGTCACTAAACGTGGTAATAATGTAACAAAAATTAATACACCGGGAGCAAAGTAACTCAGATTGTGAACTATATTATTATTATATAACTTTATATTGCACTCGGAAGTTTGAGTAAAAGAATCGATATTTTATTTAAAAATATTGTTACATCGAATAGTAAATAAAGGAATGAATTACGAAGGTTCTGTTTTATTCGGCGCCTTAAACTTGACCGGGTTGGAGACGCGGAATATGTTGGGCGTGAGCGCGGCCAGCGGCGCGAAGAGCGCGGGCGCGATGTTGGCGGGCAGCGCGGCCGTGAGCGTGCGCAGGTCGGCGCCGCCCCAGCCGGCCGCCTCCAGCATGAACCCCTTCACGCACTTCAGCACCAGCTCCGCGCGCCGCACGCACCACGCCGCCGTCATCTCCTGCCGGACCAACACTCGTCATGCCTCCGTCCGCCCAGGCGGCCCGTCTGCCCGTGCCACTCGACACTCACCTCGGACATCTCGTGTCGCAGCAGCAGCGGAATGGCGAGGCTGGTGATGTCGTTGCTGCAGGCCGCCTTCAGTATGTTGCGCAGGCCCAGGATTGCCGGGTGTCGGGACGTGATGTCACCTAAGAGATATACTTTTTTACTCCACGAGTAAATATAATGGTACCTATAAAACATGATCGCGACATATATATAAAGATGATTTAAATAGCATTTTTTCAGGCGTCTGTTAGTTTTGTTAAATATAATACGAACTAAGTTAATATTTAAATATCAATATGTTATTTGCGGAATGAACTTGACATCTTCAACAAGGATTGTCCGCAGAAAGCTTTGTGCAGAGAGGAGTGTAAGAAGAGTAGGGAGGCCTTTAACCTGCAATGGAACGACATAGGCTAATTATAATAAAACAATGTAATCTATAGACCAACTTAATACAGACGAATCTCGTACAAAAATTATAAAGACTATGTTTTACTCTCACCATTAGGTACGTTTTTGTCAACTTATTATGGCACGATTAAGGGTTCGTAGTCAAATCGCAAAATACGGAACCCTTATAGATTCAAAATGTGTTTTTCTGTCCATCGTCCGTGGGTCACACCAACTTTTTTTGGAACTATAACAATACGATAGTTTCCTACTACATAGTCAAGCAAGGGTCGAGGATTCGCCTGATGCGACCTCGAGATTGAATGCGGACCTGGCTGCCTTGAATAACTGGTCAACAAAGTTTGGCATTGCCGTTAATCCGAGTAAGTGTCAGGCGATAATTTTGAGGAGCTTCCGTACCTTCGGAAGGGTTGACAGCAAAGCTGTGTCACCTATCCTTCTCAACGTTGCGATCATCTCGTTGAGTAGTGATGTGAAGAATCTCGGCCTATACATCGATAATTGTCTAACCTGGCTGTTGCTGCACGTCGAGCTTGTCGAGCTTTGCTAGAGATACTGACAGATTCAACTCATTAGTGTATTGTTGTTTTTGTTTCTTGTATATATTCTCTATTCTTCCCATATTTAATAGTATTATTTATATGTTATTATATGTATTTGTAGGTTATATTTATTGTATTCATATATTATGTTTTTGTATTATATGTATATGTAGCCTTATGTGCCTATGGTTTTTAGTTATTTGTGTGCTTGTTTAGAACCTGTTGTTAACACTTCTCTGCATCACCCTTGAGGTTGACTGGTAGAGAATGCCTTCGGGCATTAAGTCCGCCTTTGTATGTATTCTTTTTGTAAGTACATCATAGAGGAGTTAGGATTAGGTAAGGTAAGAGGAATATTCGAAGAATATAAAGCTGATCTCATTGTCATAATAATTGAGAATCTTTACAGGGAGTTTAGCGTTAAAATTAAGTTCTCTCGAGGCAAGGTATTCCTTATCAAATTGTGTTGTGATATAGACGACAAACCTGAGTTTATTTAGTTTCTCCCGTATATGTTGACTGTAAGACAAGTACGTTATGGGAAAGTTACCGGATCGGAGTGAAGAGTCGTCCACCATGAGGTGGAAGACAACGTGCACCTCGGCGAGGTTGCTGTGCTTCGTGATGAAGATATCGCCGGTCTGCAGGTCGCGGCGACTCCGGGAGCGCGCCCCCGCGCCCCCCGCGCTGTCCGCCTGCAGCCGCTGGGAGTTGCGGCGCTCCACCGGGTCTTGCAGCCGCTCGCTGATGTCGCGGAGCTGCGCGTCCATGCTGGGGAAGTGGTGCTCCGTGCTGAGGTCGGCGGCGGCCAGCAGGCGCGTGGTGGGGGGCGCGGGCCGCCGGGGGGGCGCCTCGTCCAGCAGCACGCAGCCCGCCAGCTCGCCCGAGTACAGCGACAGCGCCGTCTGCAGCCGCCGGGACGACTCCGCCGGGCTGTCACACTATCTCGGTTATACTTACTACTTACTGTTTATTTACATATTTTTATAAGTACAAGCAGCCTGCCCTGCTTCTGTTTCCGGCGAATGTGTCCAATCTTTTCATGCAAAGCTTCTAACAATAAAGAACGCGACGTTCAAAGAACTATCCAATTACATTTCAATTACTCAAATTTGTTAGACTTGATTTAGAAAGGAAAGGGAATACTTGAATTTTAATATTGAATACAAGTTTATTATAATTAACTAGTTTCCGCACGCGACTTCGCCCGCGTGGTAAGTTGATAATATCTTTTATTTTTTCGTTCTTTTTTGCCGTTTTGGCGTGGTTGAGGAACAAAAATCCAAACATCGTAACTTTCGCATTAATAATATTAGTAAGAAGTAAGATGATGGCTAAGTCAAAGTCTGTCACCAAAAAAAGTCGAAGAAGCCAAATGACATACTTGTCAACTTGTTCGACGGCGCACAGGTCGAGCAGGTCCATGGCGACGATGCGTATGTTGTGTGTCTGCTTGAGCTGGCTGCCGAGGTGGATGGTGAAGCTCTCCTCCAGGCGCGCGCCGCCCGCCGCCGCCGGCGCCGCCAGCGACACGCTCTCCGGGGAGAATGTCGCGAGGGGAGAGTTACTGGAACATCAATTTGCTCAATTGTTTAACTTTTAAGTGTTTTACAATCTTCTTCTATTGCTTACTGCTAATTTATCGTGGTAATTAGAGACACGATATAAGAACAATAGGTGCGCAAATGCGTTCACGTGGGGTTTAATGAATTAATTATCTCCACATAATAACACCATTGTACTACCAGATATTGTTTTATAACAGTTGTGAAAGAGGCCTGATAGTAGAAACTAGTCTGCACCTGGGTGTGTTAAGGGCGGACGTGCTCTGGTACTCCTGCAGCGTGTCCATGAGCCAGGCGCGGTGCTGGGCGCGCTGTGTCTGGCGCAGCGCGTCGAGCTGGGAGCCCCAGCGCCCCGCCACCAGGGCTTGCTGCTCAAACTGCTGCGCTGCTAGCTCATTGATCTCTTCCTCTGTGCTCGAGATGTTTAGAAGGCGCACTTTTTCTTCCATTTCTTCAGTCTGTCTAAGAAAGGGGATAGTAAATAAAAACACCCAGCGAGTAATTACAATGTGTATGTTCAGTGTAAAGACTTACTTTTGAGTGAGTTTCTCAATGTCTTCATCTCTGTTCTTGAGTGTGTTCATCACAGTCTTAGCATATGAGTTCTCAACTTGGAGGATAGTTTCCAGAGCTGGTGAGTGCACCAACTTGTGGTATGCCGCTGCAAATACCTCCTCATCGGAGGTGCCCTTCTGCTCTGCAAACTCCATCACATTGTCTTTGAACAACTTCTCCCAGTTCTTGATAATGCCTTCTACATTGATTTCACTGTTCTTTAATTGGTTCAGAAGTTTCTTGTCTCTGTCATTGTGAAAGTTTTTAGTTTCCTCTGCCACAAACTGTGCTAATTTCTCATTCAATTCTGAAAGCAACATTTAACATTTTATTAATTAAAACATATTATAACATTAAAATTAATGTGGTCACCCATAATTGGAAGTGTACACTAGTATTATTTACAAAACATTTTCATATGTATGTAATTGTAAAGCCTCTGTTCCAATGAATAATTTATTTAACAAGCAACCCACTCTGGCTTCATAACTAAAAACAAATGCATCAAAATCTGTTGCATAGTTTTAAAGACTTAAGTATAGGTACAGGGGATATAGAAACAAAAAAGCAACTTTGTTTTTTACTATGTAGTGATGATACCAAAATACAATTTTAAAATAAGTTTTACACCTAAATGTGTGAGTTACTTGTATTTGCATGCAACGCACAACACCATTGGATCAGGTAGTCATCACCAGTGGCAGGTTTCCTGATGACCTCAATAAATAGGAATTGTGTACTTTATGTAATTTTGTTACTTAGGTAGATATATAAACATAAATGTCTTAGAAGTGAGATTAAATTTAGAAAGAGATAAAGCACTACAAGCCTCTTCAGAAACATACCTTCTTCCAGATACACTGGGACATGAAACATGTTGATAACTCTTTGCACCAGTTCCCTCGTTGAGCCGGCGTGAGGAATGTCCACTGGCACCTCCAGTTTGAATAGTATTTCTTCGTTCGTACATGTCGGGAACGAATATTTGAATGTTTTGGTGATATTTTGCCCCGTCTCTCCAGTCATAGTAGAACACAAACCCGAAGGCATTAACCTAGTATATTTATTTACTTTTTAATCAAATCTCTTGAGCTAAGTTAGACACATTAACACAATTATATACGCCTACATTATTTTGTTTCCATCTATAAATCAGTTTGTAATTGCTATCCTGCCGTCTGTTTTCTATCATCTGTCACCAATGTCACGCACTGACACTGACACACAGGCGTACAGGTGACATTTCGTTCTGAATTTATTCCCTACAAAATGTTTCATAATCTTGAATTAATTTAGTAACTATACTTTTTAAGTGTTACAACTGTTACCCCACAATAACACTTGAATTTTTGGGGTATACCTACAAAGTACAAACGACAGCAAGACTCGAACAAAAAAAATTTTCTATGCGGGAATTGAACCCACGATAGCAGTTGATCGCCTAACCACGACGCCAACCGTGCAGTCAAATAAAAATAGCATCAATTTAGTTTTTTATGTAGTAAGTAGGTACTTTGCGACACAGGTCACTAAGAAGTACTAATGTTAAGAAATGCTAAACAATGCGGAGCTACTCATATTTTGTACTGTGGACATACAGGTACTTGCTGTTTGTTGTCGCCCTAACACAAATTCACACACAAATTTAAGTGTGGGAGAGCCATGCTTCGGTACGAATGGGTCGACTCGACCGGAGTGATACCACGGCCACCCAGAAGACCGGCGTGAAACAATTACAGCGTTGTGTTTCGCCGTGTGATTGAGGTTACCGGGGGCCCAATCCTTCCCCGCCCCCAATCCCTCAATCTCAAATCCCTAATCCCTAAAAGATCGGCAACGCACTGATAAGTCCTCCGCTGCGGGTGTCCATGGGCGGCCCTGAATGCTTACCATCAGGTAATCGGTCTGCTCGTTTGCCGACCTATTACATAAAAAAAACCTTTTACACATAGACCCGAAATATCAATGTATGAGTGATTACTCAAAGTGTTTTTCGTTCGGGAATCGAATCCGTATCGCAACATCCACTGCACTAACTGAAAAGTCCGACAGCGTTATCTCGAACACGTGTCTGTGACTTGTTAAATGTACACTAACATAGTGAATATCTACTTTACTTGGTTTGTGTTAGCGGTCCATCAGTTACGTGACTGCCTTGTCTTAATTTACTACCCGGGGTGATATCGATGTCATAGTAAGGCCAGCATGGATCGTTCCTCCTTAGCAGCTCTGTACAATTTGTGATTGGGGGCAACTTGTCTAAGTGTATGTCGCAGGGTGCGTTACGCGCGTGTGGTGCAATGACAACATTCGTGTTTCTGTACAAGTGTGACCATTTGGACACATGTCATTTAGTTCAGACTTAATAGATCGTTTATTTGAAACAGATTATGAATACATAGTATTCTTTTAAAGTTATAAATATGATTCTGCAGCTGGTCGCACATAGTACGGGGATAGTACTACACAATACTTTGGTAATAGTAGAACTATATTTTCATTATATATAAATTAAAAAAATGGAAACAATAAATTAATTACATAAAGAAATTAAATAAAAAATGTTGTCGGTTCACATCGTGCTCTTTAATCCGATGAGTCAGAACCGTGCGGCGGCCGGGCGGTGTGCTGCTGTGCGCTGCGTCTCAACACCTCTTGTTTCGATGTTTCGATGGTATCTGATGGAATATTTACGCGGCTTCGCCGCCCTCCTCCTCCTCCGCGCTGGCGGTGAGCATGGAGATCAGCTTCGTGGTGTCGATGAAGCCTTTGTCGTCAATCTCCATCTGGTCGTACGCTTCGTCGACCTCGTCGGCGGTGAACTTGTCACCCCAGGTCATGAGGGCGTGCCTGAGCCTTTCGGAGTCGATCTTGCCCTCATCGTCGAAGGTCTTGAAGGCGTTGATGACGACGTCGTCCTCGTCGGAGCCGCCGGACATGCGGTTCGCGAAGAGGGTAAGGAGCTGGGTGAAGTTGATGGGGCCGGATGCCTCACCAACCATCTCGTCGAGCTCCTTCTCCGACGCCAGCCTGCCGAGCGAGTCGAAGGTGGCGCGAAGGTCGTTCTTGCCAATGATACCGTCCTTGTCGTGGTCCATTAGCTGGAAGGCCTGGAGAGGAAGGTGGTCGGTTAGAAAAGGAAAAAAAACACTTTCAATTTGAGAAGAGCTTTTTCATGTCCCTCGTATATGTCTCTTACGTCATTTAGTCTCATGGTAAGTTCAGCATTGTAATCGAATGTCGACACATACAATTTTGAAAAGGTTTAGGTTATCAAAGACAATGAGTGCAAGAGATGACGAGCTATGTTTACACAGCAGCCGGATGGGCACGAGCTGAACACAACTAGTACGAATGTTCAGATTCTGGTTATCTGACGTACTTACTATTGTTCAAATCCATACAACCATGAATTTGATATAAATTCTTTGCCTCGAGAGAGTGACTTGTTGGTCAAGCTCTTTCAATTTTAGAATTTTTGTGTTAGAGGTTCATACTACTACTAGCCTCGCGTAGTATCTTACTTGTCCTAAGTACACGAAAGAAGGCAGCGGCCAGCGTGTAGGATGACTCTTACCTCCTTGAACTCAGCGACCTGCTTCTGTGAGAACATGGAGAAGACATTGGAGCCGGTGCGCTTGGCCTTGCGGCTGCCACGCGACGACTGCCTGTCGCTGCCACCAGTGGCGGCGGGCGCAGCTGCAGCTGGCGCCTCTTCTGCTGGTGCATCTTCCTTTGCCTTCTTCTTCTTTACCTTCTTATCTTTATCCGCCTGTTAACAATTAATAATTGTTATTATTAAAGACAATTCTAATTTTAAAATGGTCGCTTCGACTAGCATGTGGATTTCAGTATTTGGCACAGATTATTTATCATTTTGATTGACACACACAGCGAAACGCAACGATTTCCCCGATAATCAATTTAAAGTTACGGAAGTCAACTTTAAAGCGAAGTCACATTTGAATGTAATAAAGAATGCAGTAGGTCTCTTGAGTCTATTAATTTTATAGTTGTAGTTATTTTCTTTCGTTATAGTAGGTAATTACCGCGTGTTGTCACCGGCTAGTTCCCGTTAAGGCGTGGCGAGATGGCGCCCCTATATTTAGCACAGTCCGGCTTAGTTTACTCGGTCCGCCCGGCTCACTACAGCACTCGGTTACACCAAGTTATTTATAGAAGGGCGCGTGCGCTTGTTTTCAGCTTCAGGCTAATATTAATTACTATCACATATTTTTTTATTTATGTGTGGTGGTGCATTGTACATAGTAATTGAAACGATATAAGAGGTTTATCGAAGTTTTGAACGCAATGTTTAGATCTTCTGGCTTGCAGCAGACGTTCGGCACGAAGGTACAACGCGATCTTTTAGAATTCCGTACTAGCATCCAAGAAGTTTATAGTGTAGGTACTTGGTGGCTAGTATTAATATCGCAAGGCTATGTAGTCACAGCACTAAGTATTGTCCACGGTACGTAAGTCCCGGCGTCGTGACTCGCTCCGAGAGGTTGTTGTGGTCTCCGAAGTGTTCTTCACTTGCACCACAATTCACTTTACAATCACTGGTGTATTCACTGAGATGTCACTGTGTCTAACACTTACCATTGTGATGTGTGTTGGACGATCGACGAAGGAGAGACTGTTCCGCTCGGCAGTCCCACCCTGACTCCGAGTTTTCGTTCCCTCTCGCAGATCCAGGAGAATCCCCCCTCCGTTTCTCCCCTCCCGGCGGTCGCTGCGCTCGCCATTCCTTTTTTAGTTCGACAAATACGATAGTCTTCGAATCGGCATCAGAACGGTTTGGGCGGCTCGTCGGCTCAGCCGTGGCAACACTTTTGTTTGGATTTATAAATATATCAGCTCACCTGGAGTGGGGCAGTTTCCTGGGTACGACGTAGCGCGCGATTCTTTACAAATATAACTTTATTGAATGGAACTTTACCACACTCATGTCGTCTCCACTTGGAACTTTGCTCGGTCTTCTGCGTGCGTCTGCTGGTGCACGAACACCCGATTCATATGTTGCGTCGCATAAACCGCGTCGTTGTTAGCTAAGTACTGTGTTATGAGATGACTACATTATTAGGCGAGTCAAGTGAATTCAGATAGTAGACCTGTGACCAATGGTGACAAGTACATCATAATTGTGTAGTCGCATGACACCCGGAGGCTCCGGGAATGAGCGGTGGGCTGCGGAAGGCGGCACTGCTTCGCAGCCTATCATTTCTACCTATTGTTTATCGGTCAAAAATTACTGTTAGATTTTTGCAAATTGTCTTTTACAAACTGGTGATTGCAGACAAATGTTTGCGTGACACCTCTGTGATGGAAATATTATTAGTAAATTCAGCAACCCCACGATGCAGGGAGAAATTATAGGGTATTAGCTACAACATCATCATAATTAAATATTTAATACCAACATTGACTTGGCTACTAAAAGATTCCGTTTTACTGGTTTTGTTAGTTAGACCCTTGAGGGCCTCACGCGAAAATCACCAACATTCAAATAATACTCTTACTCGATGTGAGAATCGAATCTGACTTTCATGACTTCACTGCAACCGCCTGACAAACGAAGCAGATGTTTTGTTTGAACTGCATCAGCTATTATTTTTAAGCGTTGTCCCACATACGGTTTTCTCCTGTGTCGTGGGTGCATTTACAAACATACAAATAACATACACAAACCACCCAGACTCAAAACATCAATTTATGGATCACACAAAGTGTTGTGCCGTGCGGGAATCGGACCCGCGACACGTTGCATAGCAGCCAGTTACCCAGCCACCGCGCCAACCATGCAATCAAAGTTTCTGGACATATTGGTCAACCATAATTTATTTGAATTGTACAAGTAGCAGCCAATCTCAGCGCTGCTAGATGGGGGTTGCAAACAATGACGATATAACCACTACATCCTGTTTGGTTGCATGCGTCGCGCGGCCCCGGCTCGAGTCAGGAGAAGGATCGGGGTGGTTTATTATTAAAGTCTCAAGCTCCGTCTTACTTCCTCAGGGCGGAGTAAACCATTATGTTGACTTTCTTCCCTTAAAAAAGTCCCAGTGTCATCAGCAGCTTCGGCCAGGTTCCGGGAAACTAGACGTTATTACATAGTATAAAACAAAGTCGCTATCCCTGTACCTATACGTATATCCCTACGTATCCTTAAATCTTTAAAAACAACTCAACGGATTTTGATCCGGTTTTTAAGAAGGTAAAGAGCTTGAATTTTTTTTCTATAGGTAACAACATCCATTTACTGGTGGAGAAAATCAGTATCAGCTTTGGCCCAAGCCGTGCCGGTCTTTAGTACTTCAAATCAAAATCATTTATACCAACTTACCATGAATAGGTGCTTTTGAAACGTCAAAATAGCATAGTATTCTGTGTCTGTTCGTCAGTGAAGCTAGGTGCTCGTTCCAAATTGTAGATTCGAATGGAGAAGAACGAGCAAGAAACTCCGTCGTTACTCTTTTAAAAAAATATTATTTGTTTTATAATTCACTAATAATACATTTTGTATATGTCGCAGGGATATGATAAAATCAGGGATTTGGACAAATCCCTAAGGGATTTGATCAAATCACGGAAGATGTTAAAATAACAACACGTTTTTATCATTTCCCTTAGCAAATCTAGTGATTTGACAAATCTCACTAAAGAAATCTAGTGATTTGAGCAAATCCATAAATTGGTTCAGTGAAATGACAAAAATAGGTAACTTTTGTGATACTTTTAAGGTTTATTTTGTAAGATTACCTACATAATTATAATAATCAGGTGTATCAAAATGCAATACTAATCTCAAAAATCACCACTAGAAAATTATTAATTGAAAAAGGAGAAATAAAAATTAAAAAAAAATATAAGTAGAATAACTTGACGTATCATACGTTAAGTTTAAGTTAAGGCGCGGTCACTGACAAGCAAGTGCGAGCGCGACGTTTTAATAGGTCGGCAAACGAGCAGACGGATTACCTGATGGTAAGCAATCAGCAAGCAACGGAGGAGTTACGAGTGCGTTGCCGACAATTTAGGGATAAGGGATTTGGAGATTTAGGGATTGAGGAGGGATTGGGGGAGGGGAAGGATTGGGCCTCCGGTAACCTCACTCACACGGCGAAACACAACGCTGTGGTTGTTTCACGCCGGTTTTCTGAGAGGCCGTGGTATCACTCCGGTCGAGCCATTACCCTATGTGAGAACAATGCAGAGACAAGTTGTTAATAAAAAGGAACAAATAATGGGATCTATCATTAAAATTTTAATACTTTGTCGTCTCCAACATGGCGCTCACATAATATGCGTACTCACAATCTTAAAAGAATGCTTCTATATAGGTAAACTCATTTAAGGTTTCATTAATTTTGAGAATTTTAATAACTACTGACTATATATTTGAGTATTGTCCAGTGGAGCCGAATCAACACGCTGCCAGGCATTCTTATCCTCAATATAATCTGAAAGTTTTTAGTATGCCTGTCTACACAATTCGCGTTTAATATAAGTTTTAAATTTTCGTTCATTAAGATTTAATATACTTCTTGGAATTTTATTGTAACAATTTACACAGAACCCCATAAAGGATTTCTGTACTTTGGATAGATGGGAACTTTAAACACCTCATAGTTAAAATGTTTGCAAATCAGTCGAATGTTCACACGTGGAAACTGTATTTTTTATGCTATCTAATAGTCGCCAAACGAGATTACCTGATGGTAAGCAATCATAATCATAATTCTTTATTGCATCCACAATGTAAGATAAGATGGTAATAATATGTATAGTAACAATCATGGACCCTGATGGGCACAGCAAATAGTAAATTAGAAGAGAGGCAGGCTTGTTTTATATAGATTTATGCACAATTATTTCATATTATAAGTATGTATAGTATTGCTATTATGTTTATATTTTAATAGGTATTTAGATATTAATATATATTTGTTTTTGTATTTTGTACATTATATTTTAAGGTTATCCGTTCTAAATTTTATATAAGTTTATTATTATATTTATTTTATTGTATTCAATCAGCGCCGCTCATGGCCAACCGCAACACCAAAGGAGTTACGTGTGCGTTGCCGGCTATAGGGAATAAGGGATTGGCATATTTAATGATTGGGAAGGAATGGGGAGAGGGTGAGGCTTTGGGCCTCCGGTAACATCACTCACACGGTAAAACACAACGCTGTGGTTGTTTCACCCCAGTATTCTGTGAGGGCGTGGAATCGCTCTGGTCGTGCCGACCCATTCGTGCCGAAGCATGGTTTTCCCACATTTTACCACACATATTAGACGTTATCACAGTATTATATCGAGGGCATATGCCGCTAAGACAAGTACGGCCCTGCGTTTGATTAATCCACTACTCGCCACTGGAGGTGAGGCATTGAAGAAACGTGGCCTCACATCGCGATTGACATCGAGTCGAGTATCGATGGCATGTCGCATCACTGCCAAATCCTCACAAGTTACACCACACGGGGCTCCTCCGCGCGGCTGCCAATACTTACCACACCATCAGCAATATGATTCAGCAACTACACTAAATGATTTCTTTTTATTTTGAAACGGAAAATCTTCGAAAGGTACCTAGCTATTTTGGAAGAAAAACTGCGAAGTGTGGATATTTTCCTTCAATAACACTATTGCGGTAGCCAATCAGCATCTATTAATTCAGAACCTATTAAGAGAAAGGGGACCACTTCCCCTTAATCAATTATTTTCGGAACATCCATTGTGCTACTCCTGTTACGGTTATATACCTAGGAAAAACTATGTGTCCGATGTTGTAAGAGGGGGTTTAATCAACAAATAACTTCTCCCGCCGTCATACTCTTACTGACTAATAACCATCTCGTTCCTTCTTGTGCTCCAGGCCTGGGCCGTGGTACATGGTGCTTGGACCCGCAACCCCTCGTGAAGTACATCTAACACTCTCTATCTAGTATCTATCTAATAAGTTTTTTTATGTGATAGGGTCGTCAAACGAGAAGACGGATTACCTAATGGTAGGCAATCAGCGTCGCCCATGGACACTCACAACAGTAGAGCAGTTACGAGAGCGTTGCCGACCTTTTGGGGATTGGGATTTAGGGATTGGGGAGGGATTGGGGGAGGGGAAGGATTGGGTCTCCGGTAACCTCACTTACACGGCAAAACACGACGCTGTGGTTTTTTCACGGCGGTTTTCTTTGAGGCCGTGGTATCACTCCGGTCGAGCCGACCCATTCGTGCCGAAGCATGGCTCTCCCACACTTCATCTTCATTCATGTAATAGGTCATTTCAGTTTCATGTTATAGGAGGCAAGCCTCATATAAAGTCCTCGAATAGTCATGTAAAGCCGCCCCTGCGCTTCAGCTTCCTCCCCTGGTTCGCACGGGTGGAATGCTGATATTAAATTTTTCCAAAGTCTCTATTATTTATTGGATGCTACTATACAATATACATACAAACCGTCTAGTTCAATCACTCTATCTATTAAAAAACTGCATCAAAATTCGTT